GTGTTAGCTTGAGTAGTATAAATGAAACATTAACTTCAAGATAACGCGTACAGTATTTACAGGCGTTACTTTTGATGAATTTCTTGCCTCCCATCAACACTTTAGATAATTACTTGTAGGTACTGTGATTGTTCTGATGTTAAAAACAAACATGAAAACACAGGAGAAAAAATGTATGGAAAACTTAAGGCTAGCGCTTGTGTAGGTTGTGAATAAAAGGTGAGCCCGCGCAAAAGTATAAACAGCAGCTGCGACAAAGGATATGAAGAGAACGAATCAATTGTTTATAAATAAAAAGAAAATGACCGGTGTAACTTACTCAGTTCTAGCTTTTGCTCGACTAAAATCCCTGTTTTTGAATTGAGAAGCTTCATAATTGTATTACTGGCGACTATTGGACCATATGGTAACTGAAATTTCCATAACTTCCATAACCATGCACTAACAAATACGACTACTTACATCGCCCTGCTCCAATAGAAGCATGCAACTTCGAAGACATTGTGGTGATTCGACAAGTTCTGTGAGATTTTGTTCAGCTCGTGCTCGTACAACTGGATCTATGCTCTCGCCAAGTTCCTTGCAAAGGCGGTTTAGAACCTAAAAACAACATTTCGCCTTTTGGTCAATTATCGTAAATGTAAACATAAATGAATCCCAATTGAAAACTACCTCAAGCTCGCTCATTTTCTATACTCTTGTCCGTGCTCTTCCAGTTCTAAAGTGTTTCCTCAATATGAACAGCAGTTTCTAAAGATCTCCGTTGTATTATACAGCTCAACAAAGCAAATATTCAAGTATTAGCTAGAGAACCAAGAAAATATGCAAGAGAAACAACTTTGCAGAGTTCATTACTATGACAGAGTCGAGAGTAACAGGGGCAGTTTCGCAGAGACGCAGAGCACCCGCCCTCAGCTCTTTAGGTTTTTCCGCAAAAACTATCTGAATTCTGAGAAAATATGTCGAACTAGCCAAACCGCGGTACTGGATGTCGAGTAAAGTGCAAGGACTGGTTTACTGTAAATCTTTTGAAATTCTCAGGATCGAGCGATTCGCGCATGTGCAGATACACTACACCACGTCCATATAATATAACGTCTAAATGAAGAGAGAAAAAAAAAAACATGATCAGTTGTCCCTTCCCCTGCGTTTCTGAGACCTGTTGCTCGGCGTGTAATTGCACAACACGCCTTGTCGACATAACCAATCTCTCAATCAATACCCCTGTGCGATTTATGATCCTGCAAGCGGAAAGTTTATGTAGTAACTACTTACTTTCATAGTATGCTCCGCTTGATATAATAAGCGTTTTACAATTGTATTGAACTTTCATAAAAGCTGGGATTGTGTATTGTTAAGAAAAAATTATTTACCGTATCACAAGGAGCTAAAACACTCCACAAAAGGCGCCATCCTTTCCACTTTTGAAGCCTGAATTTCGTAGAAACCGAAAGTACAGCATTTCCTGAAAAAGTCATTACTTTTTAAAATTGATTTCGATGTCTTTCCAGGTTTTGATGAATCATTCGAATAAGATTTTTTTATGAACTCTTAATTACGCTGTCATACACCCCTGCCTATTACGTTAAAATTGAGGTGTTAAGCGTCAGATGCCTTTAGTGCAGCCTTTAACCACTTACCATAAATCGCCACAGAATCTTATGGGTTTCAATACTTATCGTAAATGATCACCTACTAAACTAGTCCATCAGGTGAGTTCCCAACATTGTCGATATCATACATGCGATAGAGTGAGAATTCGCTCATCCCCTCCCCCTTTTTTTTCACCCTGGGACAGGAGGCAGTCCCACTCCCCTTCACGGGAGTTAGACGAAAAGGTAGTGTTACTGAGAAAGTAAAAAGACGATCTTGTTCGCCTATCTGTAGGTCCTCTACCGAGTACAAGGACAGAAGATTGCGAACGACGATGATAAATATACCCATTAGAAACTGTTTGCGTTATAATAATGTATTATGGAAGTAAATCATGCATAAAGCTGTTTTTACAGAGGAATTGCGTTGAATAATGATTTTGAGATGGGACTGCTATACAGGAAAATTTCATTCAGAGTCCTTTAGGTCATTTTTCTTGGATTCTCGATACGAGAGTATACATTGAAAAAAAGAAATCTACCGTAAGATCTTCAAAGCACGCCGAGGGGGGAACTGAGCATCGAGTACAAATATATAATATTCACTAATCCGCACTCAAAGTTAGATAATTTTTACCCTCTTACAAGAAATATATTTTTAAAAGCGGATTATATGAGGAATTTTAATACGCCCGTTGTCACGATTCTCTGGAAGCTGGAAGGCTGCATACGATTCTCCAGGGAATGATGTTATAGGCGGTGAAATCTAGGAT